GAAGAAGTCATTGAGATAGTCCAACATCTCTGCAGTGATATTGTGTGATACTGGCACGCCGCAACCTCTGCAACATTGTGTGAACATCGGGCGTGGTCCCTGTGGACAGCAATCAGTGTGGATGGTAGTCTGTCTGGAAGCCACATGGAAACCAGACTGCATGTGTTTCATAGTCAGTGTGAACTAGTGATGTGTCTGTCCCGAACGAACCGGCTCTAAGAGCCGGCTCTTTGAAGTGAACGACGGGAGCCGGCTTCATTGGGAGCTGTCACCTTCCTTCCCCTCCCCCTCCTGCTTTGGTGAAAGCTACAGGCGATTGGTCAACATGTGTAACTGTGTGTCCAGACTGTCCACACACAGCGCAGTAGGGGCGGGGAAGAGGGAGGATCAGACTCAGACACACAGCAGAGCACATGCGGGTGGAGGGAGACGAGAGGGAATGAGGAGGAGGAAAAAGGCGAGCGAGAGGGAGGAGAGTGCGACGAAGACGGTGAGAAAATGAGCGACAGCAGTTGGAAAGTAGAGATTTCTTAAAGTGTTCAGTTATTAAATCCATATAAATGATAAATATTTGACATATTGCATTTTTTACATTAGTAAATCATTTTACATATAGTTTTGCATTATTTTGATTATAAATGTACTCTACACAACAGAAAATCTGAGGAGCCACTTGGGAGCCGAACGAGCCGGTTCTTTTTGGTGAGCTGAGCCAAAAGAACTGGCTCTCTAAAAAGAGCTGGAATTCCCATCACTAGTGTGAACGAGGTTTTGTGACTGTTCCCAGAGCAGAGCAGTGGCGGCACCAGGGGGCGCTATAGCTACCCCTGGATCGCACCCCCAAGTAAATATTAGACTTTTTTTTTTTACAATTTAATTTTAATTTACCATGTGGATGTGATAATATTTAACATACAAAACAAAAATAATCAGTAAATTATCATATAGATAGTAAAAACTTAAATCAAAACAGGAAATTGATGTTAACCTTTGACCTCATTTTCCACCTGCGAACAAGTGAAAGGTAGAGCTAGTGGTAAAATGGATCGGTTTTTGTTGCCCAAATTTCCACGGGTTCAGTCAGAAACGAATGAATCTTTGGAAGTGATCTCAGACCCACAAAAACCCACGGATGTGGATGAAGAGAGTCAACCCTCAACTGCCACAGCAGTCGAGGGTTTTGCCGCTGGAAATGCTAACAATAACGCTAGCTAACCTTGCAACACTATAGACGGTTTTCTGTGTGGCTGTATGTGTTTATGATTTCATGGAAAAGTCAGCGATTGTTCATATGTTTATGATTTAAATTAATGATTGTTTCAGGTGTTGTTGATGTTTTGTGCACGCATGTGTACCTGCTAGTGTTGAAGGTGTTTTAGAGAACAATAGGTACGCATGACCACTTCCTTCATAGCACCCTCAATAAAAAGGCTAGCTCCTTCATTGCACCTGCAGAAAAAAAAATTCTGGAGCCGCTGTCGGTACAAGATCTGCTCGGGTGCAAGATCGGCTCGGGGTCCTTCGACTGCTGATGACTTCAATCAAAGTAGTTGATTGGCTGAACCTGAACCTTACGGAATTACATAATCACGTTACGTTGTCATCACGTTACGTTGGTCCAGGCAAATTTTTCTGTTGGAAAGATGGACAACTTTCAGAAAGAAATCCATCATTACCTCTTTGAAAATACACTTTTAGCATAGAGCTGCATGTATATTAGGGCTGAACGATTAATTTCATGTGCAATTAAATTGCGATGTGACAAAAGGAGATTTTCTAATTGCAAAGGCTGCAATTTGGCAGTGAGTGGTTAGCGCAATGCTAATATACGTGGAAAAACCCATAGGAATGCTAATGCTAATATCACAGATTACATTATTACAAATCATGATTTAGAAACATGCCAAATGATTACATATGGAGTCTAATGGAAAGTAAAATTACCATCAATCAAATAAGTACAGACAGGTATTTTAGTAAAGCCAGAACACTTTTAACTCCAGAGTTTTGGCTAGCAGCTATGAGCTATGAACTACGCATGGACAAGACGTCAAAAACTAAACACAAAATACTTCAATAAACGGGACAAACTTCTTTCCTGCAAATACAATTTCACAGGTGTTGCTAATACCTATGATCCTTCAAGGGATGTGCTCAAAGAGGAGTTCAACATTATGAATAAAATATAGTGTTTTATTTTACAAATACCATTATAAACACAAACTTACGTCGTAAGAAACATTATTTTAATAACGAAACTGCTAAATTCTTTCCATTAGTATAGATGTGTAGTGTATTTTGTCCGAGTGGGTTTGCCGTACTTTGACGTCATGGGCAGTCGAAGGACCCCGAGCTGATCTTGCACCCGAGCAGATCTTGTACCGACACCGCCACTGTCTCAAAGGCACCTTGTGGGGGCACTGAAAGAGTATCCAGTAGGTGGCCTATTAAGTGCCTGTACAAAGAGTGAGTCTGGTCCATGTTGCTGGCATAGTTGCACCTGTTCCCAGTGAGGGTCATTGTGGACAGGTCTGAAGGCGTCATCACAGAGAGTGTCTGGTTCTCAGCTTTGCTTTTTTTTTGCAGATGATGTGGTCTTGTTGGCATTGTTAAGCCATAACCATCAGCGTGTATTGGTAAGACTCCTGCTGAGTCTCTTGACCAAAAAAAAGTTGGGAAGCTCTGGTGTCTTGTTTGAAGATTGATGTCTCATTGAGGCTTGTCCACACAGGATGTTCGTTAGGCAAATGCGAGAAGGGCCTCCGTCCTGTTTTTGATCAGCAGAGATTTGGCCGCAGAAACGGATGCCATTTTTGCCACGTCTTTATTATTACTGCCCCGTTAACTTTGACTTTAACTGTACCCAAGTGAAATCTGTGCTTTAGATGTTGCTCAGGGGTTTTTTAGTCTCCATAGCTGGGCAAGAACCCCAATGCATACTCACAAAACTAATAGATGTTTTACATTCGGTTTTATATTTGCTGCAAATTACAAGTTTTCTCTCTTCTGACACTGAAAACTGATGAGTATTTCTGATTATAGTCACCTATCTCCTGCATTAGCTTCTGATAGAAAATAAACAGTGAAACTCTAAAAGCCTGACAGATCTATGTCACACTGTCGCTTAATATTCACGGACTCCCCCATCTTGGCTAACGACGGGGAAGGTTGTTGGTTTAGGAAACAACAGAGAATAGCCACGTTTACATGCGCATATTTAATCGGACTGAATGCCCAATCAGATCGAAAATTCTGCATATAAACATGTCAATCTGATTATTCTGATCCGATTCGGCCCGATCGGATTGAAATTTCAATCCGATTGAGAGAGGTGGTTTATTCCGTTCATCATTCCGATTGACGTGCATGTACACAGCCATTCGGATTGTTGGGGTAAAATCATGCCCACTGCGCATGTGTGCAACAGCGAGCGGGCCTCTCCGCTGTCATTGGACTGCCTGACTTAAAAAATGACGGCGTAATAAACAAGCGGCGGCTTTTAAATCCGACGACAAGCCGTCCCCGTTTCAGTAATATTTAATTCAAAACTTGCATTTTGTGGAAGTAAAATAAAAATCTGATTGCACAAATCATTCGACAAACATGTTCAAATCTGTACTGGAAATACGCAGGTTTATTGCAGGGGTTGCAGCGCACGGATCCCCGTTTCTGTCAGCTTTGAACGCAGCAGCTTCTGCAGCAGGTGATGGAGACGCGCTTGTAAAGAACACAGGATAATATGGGTTTTACAGACCTGATTGGAGGCTGATGTTGGGTAGGAAAACGTCCTCGGTTAAATACTCTGGACGACGGTAAAGTCCGTGTTAAAAGCACATAAACGCAGATGACCTGAGATGCGGTTCGTTAATCATGAACACAGGCTTCTAAACTTTCTGAACATCTTCTGTTTTGTTGTTATAAGCCACAACAGAGCTCAGTAACAAAACATGAGTCTACCCCTCACCCCCGCTCTGTGCCGCAGCGCAGCGCAACAGCAGAGCTGTCACTTCAGACCCGCAGACCAGCTGATCAAGAGGCAGAGACATAACCCTCCCTTATTTTAATCAACAATAAAATGCAGCAAAGCTTATATCTGCAGTTATTCACTGAAGAAAACTTAAATTCTATGAGCTAAATAAAAATATTAAATTGAATAAATGGATCAGGAAAGCAGGAAGAATAGTTATTTCTGTTTTTACACTTTTCATTTCGTTTCATGGCGTTTGTTTACAATTTTTCTTTGGGAAAGGCAACTCTGCGCATGCTCAACGTATTTAATCGGATTAAATGCTCGGTGCATATGTACGCACGGCATGATCGGATCATTTCAGTTCGTGTCCATGTGAACAGATTCGGAAATTCCGATCAACCAAGATTTCAATCGGAGCAAGTAGAAGCTAACTGTTAGCATTAGCTACTCAACCACACAGCAGAACTACTCCAGGCTTGTGTTATTTGTGTAGATATAACATCCACATTGCAAGTCACTATTGGAATTGTGTTCCGTCTGAAGCTCAGCTGTGTTGTGGGTTACTTCAAAGTCCTGAAATGTGCAATGGTGTATTTTCCCCCACTTGGAAAATTTGATAAAAATTAACATAAAACTTATTTCCCTCATCCGAGGATTAGAAAAGAAGAAAATATCATTTCAATAGCACCTCTCAAGATAAAAATCATGAGGCGCTTTAGATGCGCTGCTCCTCCACATCAAGAGGAGCCAGTTGAGGTGGCTAGTTAGGATGCCTCCTGGTGAGGTTTTCTGGACACGTCCAACCAGGAGAAGACTTAAAGGATAACCCAGATCATGCTAGCTAGAGGGACTATGTCTCTCAGCTGGCCAGGGAATGCCTTGGGATTAAACGGAGGAGCTGGCCCAAGTGGCTGGGGAGGGGGAAGTCTGGATATCTCGACTGGCTGTTGCCCCCACAACCCGACTCCAAATAATCGGAAGATAATAAATGATTGGAAGTATAAAATCTTTTGGTAAACATAACTCGACATATTGTATGCTTGTTTATTTTTTTATTAATTATTCTACAGTATACAAATATTCACACACAAAATGTTCTCAGGGGGGAATTAAATAAAATGTCGTAAACATTCACTTCCTCCTCACCTTGCAGCTCCGTCCTACGTTTCCTTTATTGTGTGCTGCAACCTCTCTACGTGTTTTTGTTTTAAGGCGGGCCACAGGTTCCTCCGGGTCACGTCGGCCCTTAAACGAGCCGCCACTTGTTTCCCGTCATGATGCACCAGCAGCAGCCAGATGAGAGGAAGCAGCCATAAATCACAGTGTGAAGCTGACATCAGTGTGGGCCCCGAGGGTGACAGGCAGGACTGAACAGTGGGTGGGGTTTAGTGAGCTGTGTGGGAGGGGCTTAAAGCTCCACTTTTAGAGAGGAAAATCTTTATAGTGTTTCTTTAGGAAGCCTAGCTTGGCAGCACAACTCATCTGACTATAAAAATACATCAAACTGGGACTTCCTGCATATTTATTACAAATAACCCTTGAGCTCCAAACACCAAAGCAGCGAGGCTGACCGAAACCTCATGATGACATCATGTTGAACGGGGGAGAACGTGGAAATGGGTGTGTTTTGTTACCACATGGATACAGGATGCAGTCGATCAAGTAATAAAGAGCAACAAGGACAAAAGCAAACAGATAAAGTGACTGTTGTGGGTTCAATCTGCAGAGAAACTCTACAATTTAAAAAAATCTAAGAGAACATCATTTGAAAACATTTTATATATATATTTATATAGACTTCGATAATCAGTGGCACTGACATCATTTTGGCTCTGTGCTGCATTTTCATTGCAACTGCTCATCTCTACGTCTTTATTCCACCCAACCAGCTGTGTCTCTGTCCAAAAAACACCAAGAAGCGGTAGTGCAACAAACTTTTAGTTGATCTTTTGAGTTCAGAACTCTAAAAAAAGTTGTACTTCTGATGTGTGAGGTGATGTGTAGGGGAGATGATTAGGGCCACTGAATAAAAAATGAAGGAGCTTGAGGTCTGACTTATTGCTCAGAATTTTGACTTCTGAGATTAAAGTCGGAATTCTTTTTTCTTGTTTTCCTTTCACATTTTCATTGGCACCATTTGTCTTCCGTAGTCCGTGAGCCGTCGTCATGATTATACCAGCACTGCTCGCAGCAGACTGCCAGTAAATCACTACGAGTGTTGAACTAAATGTACAGACTGCTCTTTTAGACCCGTTAACGGCGTTTTTTTGGGGGGGGGGGGGGGGGGGGGGTCGAGTCGAAGGGAGAGAAGCCGGTGTGCAGTGTGAGCGTAGAGCTTTCTGTGGCTCTTCCTGTGAGACTGAGTGAGCTAAATAAAAAGGGATTATTGAAAAATAAGGCTTCCAGTCTGAGGAGCTTTTAAAGGCACACAGACTGAGCTACATTCCATCTTTGATGACAATGAGAAGAGAGAGAGTGAAATGTTTTATCTTACAGTGACACACCAGTGATAAAACTCTTATTTTAGTATTCTCTCTTCCTGTCACTCACACACGCACACACACACACACCCACCATCATCTCCTCTGAAAGTTTTATTTTTTCTTCTTAAATAAGTTTTTGATTTTAGAAGAGGAGCGCTTGATTTTTTCTCCATTGTCGCTGGAGTCCTGGGAAGAGGTGCTCTGGAGCTTGTAATCTCTGCCCACGCTCCGCCCCTCTGAGTCCAGCGAGGTGAGCGACGGGTGGCGCCCCGCGTGGGCCAGCATGGTTGCCGGCAGCTGGCTGTAGCTGTAGGACTTCTCCAGGATGCCGTTGTACATGCCTTTCCCCGTCTGAGGCGGAGCGCCACCTTGTGGGAGGGGGACACTCTGGGGCTCTGACATGACGCGGGTGAGATCGGGCGAGTTGCTCTGTGCAAACACGTGGTGCTCCAAGGCTGGGGAGGGGGAGGTGGAGGGGGGGCTGGAGGGGGTGGTGGCTGGTGTGGGAGGCATGGGGGGCGGTGTAGAGTCCCTGAGGCTGCTGTTGCTGCTGCTGCTGGTGGTGTGGGTGGAGCCAGGACGCTCTGGGCTCTGGATAAACAGCAGCAGCTCCTCGCGGGAGATCCTGCGGTAAGGGGTTTCTGCACCAGGCGCGCAGGGGCTGTACAGCGGTTTTCTACTGAAGGATGAGTTAAGGGAGTCTGAGTCGGAGCCCCCGTCCTGAGCCGGTTCGCTTAAGGAGAGGAGCAAAGGGAACGGGTTACACAGCAGATTTTTTTTCTGTAACACAAACGCAACATTCCAGGAAAACACTAAACAAAACAACGCATCAAAACTCACCCCCTTCTGTCTATACTTAACACTACGTGTTCTTCGTCTGCCTCGGGGCGATAGGAGAGGGTGGAGCCAGCCATGGACAGCAGGTCTGGGTCTGGAGACATCAGAGAGGACTGTTGGGAGCTCAGCAGGCTCCGGCGGGACCGACACACGCTGCTGTTGCGTGTCAGCGGGGGTCGGACCAATGTGGCGGCTGTTAAACACAACAAACAGGCTCACGGGGAGTTCTTATCATCCAGGGTGAAAATCCTCAGCTGTTTTTACTCACTAGTGAACTGAGAAATGATGGGAGGCGTGTCCTCATCCAGGTCGTCCACCCCCCCTGCGATGGGGTACGGGGGAACCGAGACCCGCGGCATCACGACCCAGCTGTGGTCTGAGTAGAGGCTGGCCGTCAGGCTCGGCAGGCCTGAGTTATTGACGACAGGGAAGCCGCAGAGCTTCTCGATCTGCTGCCAGCGGTGGAGCCGCTCCCTCAGGCAGGCCGTCACCTCTGACAGAGCTTTCCTTCAGATAAAGTAAAAAAATAAAAATAAAACCGCTACAAGACAATAGCAATGTCAGATGTGAACATAATGACCAAAATCAAAGTGGCTTTGTTTTATTTTAAGGATTTCCTGACAAAGTATAGCCCCCCCCCCTCTCCCCAGCATTAACATCGGCATGCCTCAAGGACGTGTGCTCAGTCCTCTACTGTACACACACGTATGCACCTCCACCCGCCTAAACATCTCTTTTCTAAAGTTTGCGGATTCTACGACTGTGGCCTGAGCGTCCACCCTGGCCCAGTAGCTGCTTGTGTCCTTCCACACACGCCTGCTCTAAGGTTTGTTATTTGTCATCAACACAGATCCCGTTGCCACGGTAAAGCCTGCAGCACCAGCCTGACATACAGGTACCTAACTCTGCTTTCTCTCTGTTTTCTGTTCCATCTGATGCCCTCAGGGAGGGCGCTGAAAACTGACAAACAGCCCATTTCCCCGGGTTGTATGAAATAAGCACTCTTCAACATACGTGATATTTTGCACATGCAAAAAAAAAAGATACTCATTTTTTTCTACCAGATTTGCTCATTTTTTAAAACATAATAAAACCTTTAGTTGCATTGATGGTATAGTTTGCTGTTCCTCCTGGTACAATGACTTTAATGTTCCTGATTTCTGAAAATGACAGAATATAACTTTGTGGCCTAGTGTGCGTTACATGGTTAAACGTCAGAAAAACTCTGGTAGTACTTTGTTTTTTCCTACTTTGCTTCTAGTATTTTGTGGTCCACCTCGTCCAGAGATGAACTGTGGGCAACATGAAGAGTTCCAAACACAGAACCTCTCTTCTTTTTGATCTTTTCTGCCTAAAAAGGAGAAAAACAATAAATGAATTCCTGCTGGATGGCTGCGTTGTACATCATCCATCCACCTCTCTATCACTCATACTCTGTCACGTCAACACAAATCGGTTTAACACAAGTGCTGTCAGAAACATGTCAACACTAGTTTCCTTGTAGTTCTGTGGTTGCTGGACAGGAAGTCAGCAGCTTCTGAACCAGATTGTGATGAAACGAGAGGAAACGTCACCTCGTCTTTGGCAACGCACAGCTGAAACTCGGCGCTCTGCTTCTTGATGTTGTAGTACTGAACCTCCACTTCATGCGTGAGCTGGAGCCACTTCTGCAGAGCTTCAGGCACAGAGCACTCCAACTGCATCTCCTTCTCCGCTCGCTTCAGAGCCTTCCGTACCTGTGCCAGAGGAAACATCACAGCACAGCATTCAGAACTCCCATAAACTCATTAAATCGTGAGGTTTTAGACTCAAACGAGCTGAATTTATTGATTAAACTTAGAATTTCTGATTATAAAGCTGTCTGACCCCAGCTCAAATGCAAAGAGGGAAATCATGGGCTTCTTAAGGCTGTTTTTTAGCCAAGTGAATGAGTCATCAGGAAATGCTAATTAGATGTTTGACTCAAATTAAAATTTATGGTTAATCATTTTTAGATCCGAGACCACGGTTCTCAGCTGAAAAAGGGTGGCTTGCCAACTCCGGGTCGCCAGAGAGGCCCTTCTCTGAGTTTTAGTATCTCAGGGTCTTGCTAATGAGGAAGGGAGTGGGAGATCGACAGGCGGATTGTGGCAGCGTCTGCAGTGATGCGGATGCTGAACCGGTCGGTCGTTGTGAAGAAAGAGCTGAGCCAGAAGGCAAGGCTCTTGATTTATTGTCCCAACCCTCACCTACGGTCATGAGCGGTGTGTACTGACCGAAAGAACAAGATTGCAGATACAAGCAGCCAAAATGAGCATCCTCTTGTGGGTGGCCGGGGTCAGCCGAAGAGATTCAGGACATTCGGGAGGGACTTGGGAGTAGAGCCACCGCTCCTCGGCATAGAAAGGAGCCAGCTAAGGTGTTGCCAGCAGGAGGCCCCCGGGTCGACTCGGGACATGGAGGAGCAAGCACATCTCACATCTGGCTCGGGCACGCCTTGGGGTCCTGCGGGAGGAGCTGGTGAAGGTGGCCAGGGAGAGGCCTGTCTGGGACGCCCTACTTGAGATGCTCCCCCCGCGACCCGGACCAGTGGAGGGAAACCAATGAACGGACATCTTTAGGTGGTTGAGCTACTGCCATTAAAGAGTTGCTTCATTTTATGTGTTCCAAACACAATTTGGTTGCATTACTGATTCCCTCTGATTTCTTTATATAATTAGAAAAGATTTGTTGTCTGTTCCAGATGGAGGCTTGGTGTTACACATAAAAATCTGATGTTAGAAGCAAAACAAACAAAACGTGGTCAAAATTTCACCAGGGAAATAAAAATGAGTTATTTAGAGAAGTTCCTAGATGGGAAATTCAACAACTCTCCTTAAGCAGCAGTGCTTCCCTTACATAGGCGTAGCCGTGGCGGCCCTCAACGGCTGAAATCCCAGCGCCACACCTACAAGATCCCAAGATTTATTGATTTTTTTGCGCCGTTTCCCGTAGAAGCAGCGGGAACTACTCGGCTGTTGCTTGTGATCACAGCCGGCAGGCAGCAAGGAGGAAGGAGGCAGGGCGGGGTGGTTACAGCTAGGGATGAGCCGGATACTCCATTCAGACGAGTATCCGGTACGGATAAAGCATTTTTCACGAGTACGAGCATGAAACGAGTAAAACTCGTAAATATCTGTAATCGTGCTGAAGGAAAATCCTCATTAGGTAACTGACTGTCTTCCCGCTCTGTGATTGGCCAGTCGCATAGAGCGCCCGCCCCTCCCTCCCCACAAAACTGCAGCCGGGAGCTCAGTCCGTCCGTCCCATCCACACACACACACACACACACACACACACACACACACACACACAGACAGTAACGGATCTCTCGGTGCTTGCTTCACTGTTGCTCACGTTTCTTCAGAGCTCCCTAGGTTTTCTTCAGCTCGCCTCTTTTTCGCTTGAATATTTAAAGTTACTTTGATCGTAACGTACGTGGTGCATTTGACAAGTCAGAGCTGAAAACGGCTCGTGCATGCATCAGTCACTGCCTCCGCTCTGGTCAGGGTTTTTTTTATTTTTTTTATTTTAACTCTCTCTCTCTCTCTCTCTCTCTCTCTCTCTCTCTCTCTCTCTCTCTCTCTCTCTCTCTCACACACACACACACACACACACACACACACACACACACACACACACACACACACACACACACACACACACACACACACACACACACCTCAATCAACATTGTTTTGTTTAACTGTGTGTGGGAAAAATGCCAACAACATTCGGAAAAAATCTGTTTAATCAAATTAAAATAAAATGGTTCTAGTATTTCATATTTCCTAGTTCCTACTGCATGAGTTCAGATGCATTAATTCATGCACTTAAATAATAATGTTCTAATTTTACTGAAAAACTTGTTCTGTAATAGTTTCTTTTCTATTGTGATCAAAAATATTTAATCTCAACTCAGAGGCTGCTCTGTAAATAGTTTTCAAATAAACAATACACACATAGCAACTTCCGATCAATCCATATCAATTTCAGATTTAAAATAATGTATTGATGTAAACCACACCCACTACTTTCCAAATATTAAATAAGAGGTGCATTCATCTGTGTATCTCCTTTGATCCGCATTAGTGATATTTTCAGCACCAGAACAATCAATCAATCAATCAATCCAGTTTTATTTATAAAGCACTTTAAAAGACCCAGCACAGGAACAAAGTGCTGTACAGAAAGTACATTAAAACAATTGACTAGACAGAAAACAGCAAAGATAAATAAAACACATGATACATAAAATTAAACTAGCCTTATATTAAAAAAATAAAAACTTGATAAAACTTGATAAAACCGCATTTGAATCACCTAAAACAGCTAAAATAAAACAAAAAAAAGAAACCAACTTCTCACAAGGTATTAAAAGCCAGGGTAAAGAGGTGGGTTTTCAGGAGTGCCTTAAAAACAGATAAGGAACTGGCCTGTCTTATCTCTAAAGGAAGTTCGTTCCACAGTTTTGGAGCTGCAATAGCAAAAGCGCGATCTCCTCTAAATTTACGCTCAGTCCTGGGTACAATCAGGAGCAGCTGATCAGCAGACCTGAGAGAGCGGGAGGGAGTGTAAGGCTGTATCAGATCCGAGAGATAAGAGGGGGCAAGGCCATGAAGACCTTTAAAAGCAAATAAAAGAATTTTAAAATGAATCCTAAAAGAAATGGGCAGCCAGTGAAGTGAAGCTAAAACAGGGGAAATGTGCTCAAACTTTCGAGTGCCAGTTAAAAGACGAGCTGCGGCATTTTGGACCCTCTGTAGGTGACTAATACAAGATGCACTGAGCCCAATGTAGAGTGCGTTACAGTAATCCAGCCGAGTGGTTACAAAGGCGTGGATCACTGTCTCAAAGTGCTGCCGTGAAAGAATTGGCTTTATTTTTGCCAGCTGCCTGAGGTGAAAGAAGCCAGATTTTACCACCGCCTTAATCTGATGTTCAAACTTCAGATCACAGTCCACTTTGACCCCCAGGTTGATGACAGTTGGTTTAACAAACTGGGCCAAGGAATCTACAAACACATTGGGGGTCTCAGTAGGACTACCAAAAATCATCACCTCAGTCTTTTTATCATTGAATTTTAAAAAAATTCACAGACATCCAAGCCTTTATGTCGTCAAGACACTGTAGTAATGGCTGTATGAGGTTTCTGCCTTTTTTCTTTAGAGGGACATAGATCTGACAGTCGTCAGCATACAAGTGGAAGGCAATGCCATGCTTTCTCAATATAGAACCGAGAGGAAGAAGATACAGAGAGAAGAGGAGGGGGCCTAGAACTGAGCCCTGCGGGCCTAGAACTGAGCCCTGCGGGACACCACACAAGAGCGGAGCGGAGGACGACACATAGTCACCGAGACTGACACAAAATGTTCGCCCCGCCAAATATGACCTAAACCACTCCAGAGCTGTGCCGCTAATGCCCACCCAGTGCTCTAAACGAGAGAATAAAACTGCATGATCCACAGTATCAAAAGCAGCTGTCAAATCTAAAAGCACAAGAACAACACAGTCCCCAGCATCAGTAGCTAAGAATATGTCATTAAAAACTTTTAAAAGGGCTGATTCAGTGCTGTGAAAGGGTTTAAAACCAGATTGGAAAACCTCTAATACATTTTGATTTTACAAGAAGGCCAATACTTGGCTATGAACTACCTTTTCAAGAATTTTAGAAAGAAACGGTAGTTTGGAGATAGGCCTGTAATTCGCAAGATCCTGCGGATCAAGAGCAGGTTTTTTAATCAGGGGTTTGACTACTGCATGTTTAAAATCTTTAGGGACAACGCCTGACATCAGACTATGGTTTACCAGCTCAAGAACCAGAGGACCAACTGTAGGTAACACCTCTTTTAAAAGTCGAGGAGGAACAGCATCATTTGGAGACCCTGCAGGCTTAAGATGACCAACAGTCTGCTGTAGACATGACAGAGTCACAGGCTCAAACCTGTCAAAGACAGCAGAGCAGGAAACAACGACTGAGGGGTCATGAGCACAAGGACAGATTTGAGCCCTTGTGGAGGAGACCTTCTCAATAAAGAAGAGTAACAAATTTTCACAGGCTTCTAATGAGGGCTCGATACAGTCAGCATATGGTGCACTAAGAACAGAGTTAATAGTTTTGAATAAAACACGCGGGTTGTGGCAGTTAGACAAAATAATGTCCGAAAAGTGTTTTCTTTTGGCCTCTTTCACAGTTCTTTGATATTGACGCCAACAGTCCTTCAGCATCTGAAATGATGCAAAGAAACAGATTCCTGAGTTTATGTCAGTAATTTTATTTATTAGGTGCATCTGACCTGTTCTATTTTTCTCTGAAAGGAGATCAAATCAGTGCTTCTATGGGTTGTCTCCTCTCTGCACTAGAAAAATGTACTTTATTATAATGTTCTCTGTAATGCATCTTGATGTTCTTAACAAATAAATTAAATCAAAGATATTGGTCAATAATGCCAAATATGTAAATTTGTGTTTCAGTCATTTTTATACTGGCTTAAAAATACTTCATTAATTCTACTAAACAGGGGTGTAGAACGTTTTTAATAGGGCCAGCCCAGTAATGATCTTGGACCTAAATAAAGGGGGCAGAAGGAGATGTTTTTCCAGACGCCAAGAAAAATTAAATGCCCCCCTCCCCCACACCCACACTCACACACCCCCCACCCCCCCACCCCACCCCGCAAAGTGTGTCACTGAGAGTTTAAAACAAAAATTATTCTTGTGCAAATATTGGTGTGTTCACCTTTAATAATAGTTATTAAAATGCAGCAGTTGCTGGATTGGTGCAGTTCAAAGTGGAGTGCATCAAATAAAACAATATTAACATAAAGGTGAGACGTGTCATAATTCCCCCCCCCCCCCCCCCCCCCCCCCACCACCACCACCACCACAGCTGGAAAAATTCCAAGGGGAAACACTGAGCACGATGCAGTTTTTCACCCATCAGCTTGATGATGACTGTTGCGGGAGGTTCTACCTGCACGAGCTCTTCCTCTGCGTATTTGAGTCGGCTGAGCTCACACTCGGCTCCCTCTCTCAGCTCTCGCAGCCTGTGGGCCTCCTTCTTAGCATCGTTGATCTCGTCCCTCATCTTCAGCTCCAGGTTCTCCTTCTCCACAGCCACTGTCCGGTTCTCCTCCTGAGCCTTTTCCAGCCTGGGAGAGGACGAGGAGAACAGGAGATGAGGTCACTATAATACACATCTGGAGCAGGTGTTACACTCTCTCTCCTCTCACCGGCCCTGCAGGTCCATGAGGCTTTGCTCAGCGTGCTGCAGACTCTCCAGGTCCTTCATCATCTGGGAAATGTGGACCTTGCTGGACTTGTTCTGAATGTAGGCAAACCAGCAGCCTCCCACACCAATCAGGATGGAAATCATCAGCACAAAATCTTTCATCCAGTTGTGCTGCGGGCCTGCAGGTGAGCAGAGGTTACTGAGGAACTCTAATTATGCTGTGAGGGTTTATTTGAGCAGAGCGTCCACTCACGAAGAGGAGGGCCGAACAGCACTGCATCCAGCGCCTTTAGATTTAACTTCTGCTTGTGCCGCTGGTCTAAAATCTTCAGCTGCATCGACATGAAGGATGGTTCGTTTGCTGCTAATCTGGAATTAGGAGAATAAAAAAAGCAACGTAGAACAAATCCCACTCAGAATACAACGCCTGTTTGATCACAGAGAGTTTTTAGGGAACAGGTGGACTTTAGTTTGACCGTCTCACACAACATGGAAGCCTCTGCTTATGACATCACTTCATGAGTCAGCTGGCTGGCGCTACATGAAACCCCTCAATAATTCCCCCCCCCCCCCCCCACCCCCACCCCACCGCCTCTGTTACAGTTACTCGGTACACTCGGTCTGCAGCAGCTCACGTTGCACACGTCCCTCTGGAAATATTCAATATCAGCCCATAAATAGCATCTGTAACTGTTCCGTCATTACCCCTGACAAGTTCAGCTCATCAAGCGGGACGGAGTGAGTCGACCAGAACCCACAAAACCAACTTGGTTTCAAAATCTCATATTTTTCCTTGTGCTGCGTTTTTCAGCCAGCAGAGGGCAGCAGGACCCAGACCAAAGAAAACCAAATGATCAGAGTAACACAATGAGTGAAAGTCAAGATTATGTAGTATTCATCTCTAACCGAAAATTATTATTAGATTAGAGATCTGGGACTGACCGAGGTAACGTGTTCCCCGTCAGCCGGAAGTCCCGGAAGTTCTTCTCGTACTGCGGCAGCTCCACCGACTCCTTCAGCCACTGCACCGCGTCCTCCACGGTCCAGTTGTGGACTGATGAAGGGGTGAGAGAAAGCACACTGAGCAGAGATGTCAAGTGTTCACCTTCATCACTCAGCCAGAGTTTAGAGAGACTATTTTAGAAGTATCAATTGAAGCTTTTTACTGCACCGATACGATGCTGGTATCGGTAAAAGTTAACGGATACCAGTTACTGATAGCAATGCAGATGCTTGAAAGTGACTTCACTGTAACTTGTCATTTCTGTTCACCTAATATTTTAGTTTTGGGATCACTTATATTACTTTTTATCTACCTCACAGTATTTTCCTATTGAAAACAGAAGAAAATAAAACCTGTATTCCAATTCATTGCATTGTTTTGTGTGGTAGAAGTATCTGTATCGGTAATTGGTATTGGCGAGTACTCAGGATCCAAGTATCGGTATCGATCGGTTTGGAAAAAAGTGGTATCGTTGCATCGCTACTTTTTACTCGAGTAAAAGCAAAAACGCATCAATCACAAAACACCTGTTTCAGCCACGTGTCGAACATGTGTGTGCGATGCAAACACATTAAACTACCATATGTGGGTGGTAGATGTGGGAACAGTTATCTGACTGCAACCGCTCTATCCAGATGGGACGGCTCAGCGTTCAGTGGGTTTTCTCCTGAAACTATTTCTAAAATGTAAGGCGTTGAAGTTAAATGTTGTCTAACACAAAAGTATTGCTGAAATACCCCAAATCTTTACCTAAGTAAGGTAACAAAGTATTAGTACTTAGTTACTTGACACCTTTGATACTGACACAATAACGGGTCAGAGGTGAACAGGGTTAGAAAAGGTGTGTATTTCGGTACACTCATGTTGAAGAAGAGCCACACTCATCAAAATATTCACTAAAAGTATCAGATTTTATGTGTTTACGGCATAGAGACAAAAACGAAAGATGAGTAACTGATAAAATAACTTATTTTCAAGTTTAAATTGTGAAAATAACATTTTTTTTATGTGACAAAAGTAAATAAGTAAAAAACACATCTATTCATCCCTGTTCAGAGAAAACACTACCTAGTGCTCACTGAGAACCAAGTTCAAAACGAAAGAAAGGCTTTTGATTCCATAACCGGTCCGTCCTGATATCAGGAACACACCTGAGCTCAGAACAATGCCTTCTGACTTTTGGGAAACTGCACCTGGGTCATGTGACTCTTTTGTAGTTTATTAGGAAGACGTCTGCAGCCTGAGACAGCTCACTGAAACTCTTAAGCCTAGTTTATGCCTTTGCGTCAGCCCCACAAGGTAGAGACGAATGCGTATCGACAGCTATTTTGCTCTCTGACTTCTCCGTCTTCTGGGGTGTTGAAAAGTCATCCCCCACCATGACAACAGAGGGCGTAGCGCAGTATCCTGTCATGTATACAGTCCATGACGGTGCATTTACTATTGTGTTTTTGTATTTCAGACTTTCTACCACGGACAAATTTGTCCCTCGTTCTCTTCCGCGTCTTCATGCTCTTGCAGTCCCTAAACCCGAGTTTCCTGTCATTTCTGTCCATGAATAAATGCTTGCTGCGTATCTCTTGACTCCTCCAGTCACAGGTGAATAAAACGTTCACAAAGTTTCCGTCAGGTATTCTTCAAGCTGCTCTGTGTCTGCTGCTGGACATCTTTGGCTCTCTTTATGTTTTTGAGAGCACAATGGCGATGAGGAACGCGGCGACCTGACCAATCTAAACTAGGATGTAGTAGTGTGGATGATCACCCCCGTTAGAGCTGTAAATGTTTGTTTTGGCGCCATGGTTACCTTCAGAGGTCTTCCAGCCCCTCCACAGCTCCTCCACAGTGATGTGCTGGTCTTCACGGTGCAGGTTGCTGTGTTTGTTGGTTTGTTGCTGCTTCATGTCTTCTATAATGAACTAAGAAAACCAAAACGGACAAAGCAGAGTTTGCATCAACACCAAGAATCATATGTATCTGAAGGTGGAACACGTGGCTGAACTGATGTGGACAAAAGAAGCTGTGGAGTTGGCTCCATCTGTCTTTTTTCTCTGCTTTATTCCTTTTAAGGGCTTAGAAAAGAGAAAAGAGGCTCCACTTCTACCTTTGTGTGTGTGTGTGTGTGTGTGTGTGTGTGTGTGCGTGTGCTCTTTAGGGTTTCCGGCTGCCTTTCTTTGGTAGCTCAGAGCTAAGCACCCCTGCAGAAGAAGGCCAAAGGAAACAATCCCAACAAAGAAGAGCCTGAACACCAGCAGAATTAACAAGGCTCATGGCCGACTACCAAACACCTCAGAGCATTCATTCTGAAGGTCTGAGGGTCTGAATGTGAGTGGCCCGGGTTTGAAGAAGACAAACGCAGAAACGTCTTTATTCATCCTACCTGTTTGTAATAATAAATGATCCCAGGACAGGACTGCAGAAGACTTATTCAGTCACACTTAGCATTGTGCCCATTCCTTCTTTGCATAGATATGATACACCTCCTTTGCTCAACCAAGAGATCAACCTGTCTCATTCTGACAGGAGTCCTGGTCCTGAGCTGTATGTATGAAGGGATCAAAAACCCCTTCCCCTAGATCACAGCAGAGAGAAAACGTCAACTACCAGCTAGCCTATGGGCCATTCCCATCTGTACCGGGTCGGCCCCAGCCTGGCCCGGTTGATTCCACACATCCTTGCCTTAAGCCCATGTGGGCTGATTCTACCCACCAATCAGAGGCTTGCTCTAATGGAAGGTGTGAATTTGCTGTCAGCAGTGGGTGTGTTGGCCCTGGTCGGTCTGAAGCAGACCCCCTCGAGAAGAGGGCTGAGAATGAGCCTTGGTTGGCCCGGAAAAATACCAGGCCACCCAGATATGTAAACAACCTATGCTACCCGGCCCGGGCCGACCCGGTACAGATGGGAATGGCCCACTACATACATGTTGGTATTTGAAGTCCCTGCTGTCAATCTCTGAGACGAGTACATTTCTGTTCAAGTAAAGAACTGCCAGTGGTGGAAGAAGTACTTTTTATTTAAGTAACAGTACAGATAAAGGGGTGAATAAT